TATGATGAAGAAGGAAACCTGGCGACATATACAAACAGCTTGTTGAGGATCTGAAAGGAGCACTCCCACCATATCAAATTCACACTCTACAAGACGTTGATACTACCGGTGCTGTTGTGTATGGTTGGCTAGGTTATGGTGTGAGAATGGATGAGGATGACCCAGATCTAAAGGCATATAAAAGCGAGCCACCTGAACTTTACGCAGAAGGGGAAGACCACGCATTCGATGGAAAGATCAAGTAGAAGACTACATTTCGTAACATGGCTTTTCAAATTGTTAAGCTCGGCGTATAGAACAAATGTTCTGTCAAAAGCCAGCTATGTAATTAGGTAAATATTTTGCATTCTTTTGGGCATGTTTTCTAACAGAATTGCCGCCAATATGGTATATAAAATCTTCCAAACAAAAATTTAAAATATTTAGAGTAGCCCCCATATAACTGAACTCCCAAATTTCGGTATTTATTTCGCATGGGGTGATGGCTCCGCTTTATTTTTTTTTATTGATTTTCATATTCAACTCGGAAATATCTGCGGATTTCAGTAGAATTCTGTTATATTACCATTATTACTCTTATTTAGGAAGAATATTATTTTCGATTCGAATTTGGAATATTTTTTTCATACAACTTTTTGATAATCTTGTGATGATGTTATTTGAACGATGATTACTTTCGATTTTACAAAAAAAAAAAAAAACAACAAAGACAAGCTCATCTTTTAACCGGTTTTAACACAAGTATTACTCAAACTCGAAAAAAAATTAGAACTTATTAACATTCATACCTGTGTACATTGAATTTTTGCAAGTTTGAGAAAAACAATTCACGACAAATAAACAAAAAAAAAAAACAAATAAAAACATTAAATTATTACAAGTGTCAGAATGAAGTGCATACAAACGTTTTTTTATTTGTTTTGAGTTCTTCATTTGCTTTCATTTTTTAAATAAATATTCACAAAAGACTACTCAGTTGACATTTGCACAAGCGTTACCGGTTGTCAAGATCGTAACACTGCCAGCCCTCCCCACCCCTTCACCTCACCGTTTAACCTTTGTTTCGATTGGGGTTAGATCATCAATATCGACTGTGAACAAACTCAGCGCAAAACATGCACTTCCCTGTGTGTTTGTCGCCGTCGCCGTCATCGCCTGTTGAAGTCGTAATTAAATTAATTAAAAGAAAAGAATCAAACAAATATTACGGGAACAAAAGACGAACATTAATATTGACATTTAATGGCGATATTTGTATTGGGGGAATATTAATTGTCATATGCAAATATGTTGTAGGGAGAATATTGGCAACATTTGAATTTAAGTGGGTTTAAATATCGTAAAATATCTTGCAGGATATGGAGCAGGCATAATCAGCCTCATTCTGAACATCAATTTACTGTGAATTTGTTCGCACCTTCCTTTATAGTTATTTTGAAGCAGAACTCGCAGCGATTTTTTTTCGCATTCTCACTTTCCCCTTATTCTGAATCAAGTTCGAAAGCGAAAAATCGTTTTTGGGAAAAACCAGTTATTCTGGATTATAGGGAGTGGGAGAATGTGATGACATTTTGTGTTAATTTTTCCCTAATAAATTTAAAGACAACTGACTATAAAATATATGTATGTATATGTATTACATATTTTTATGAAAAATATCTACACAATACTTATTCTATGACGATTTTGAATATTATAAATGGTTATATCAAGAATCCGCGGTAAATCTGCCATTAAAATAAAATGCCATTGCAAATCCTACTGGTTACGAATTTATAAAGGCAATAAGGAATGTTTAAGCCGAGTTTTAGCAATTTGGAGGCGAAATAAAGATATTTTGGCCTGATGATCTGTTTAATAGTGAAGAACTCAAATAAAAATTATGAAAGAACAATAATAAAGCTACAAAAGAATATTTTTTCTTTCTAATTTATATTAAAAATTTGGGGAGATAAAATATCGAAATTAAAAAAAAGTACACAATTTTGGGCGATTTCTTTTGACATCGTTCAATGCGTTTTTGCCATCATAAAAAATGTTCTTTTATTTGTAATCTGTTGCACCAAATTACATCAAAACAATAAACAGTTGTTTCACATGACGTTGTATGTTGCCATATTTTCAAACTTTAGTTTATTTTCTTTTAATCACAAAGCAGATTTACCGCGGATTTTTGAAATTTCACATTTGTATTGTTACAAAGTTTAAATAACACTAAAAAGTAACAATTAAAAAATCAATAAATAAAATACTGAAAAAAATATTACAAAATTAAATTATAATATGGCAACACGAACCTTTATTCAACCACCATTTTTGAAAATTCGCTCAGAATAAGGCGAAAATGTGAAAGCGATTTTTTTCACAAGCGAGATCTCTCTCTCTATCCTGAATAAGATTGAGCTTCTCATCCCCACAGCAGATATTAAAAAAAGGTTTGTTCTCTTTGAACCATGCGGTTCCGACAGTTCCAAAAGGTCGCTTCGGTAAAATTGGTCACAGTCGGTCGAAAAAAAAAAATAACAAGAGAATATGAATCACTGTGCACCATTACAATATTGATCGACTCCAACCCGTATTTCTTACCGGGCAAAACAAACAATATACCACTAGTCACCCAATGATTTATTTTTATTCCCGTAAGGAGTACTTTCAAAATACCTTAAATCAATGAGGACTTTTATATAGGGGCTGTATCATGGGAAATTTGTGCCACAAAGATTTGGCTCCCACTAAAAACAAAAAATTGACAACCAAATTGGCCATAGGTTGAAAAATGTGCGTCAAATGGAAAAATAGGTCAATATTGTTCATTTTTTGGCATTGATCTAACAAAATGATAACTTATAAGCCAATATTCCAAATTACATACATTTGGGTTGAAAAAAGTGAAGGAAATCCGAATATTGGAGGTATCGTTGTATAGGGACTATTCAAAAACGTCGATTCATATATCCAATGTTCAATATCAAATATCCTAGAAGTACTGAATAACTTCAATTCTGACTTTGAAGAATTTTATTTGTTCTGATAGTTTTACCAGTTATTTTTTTATATAATTTGTGTTCCATATATGACAAAAATATCCGATTGGTCCCGATTTCGGGTATTGTTTGCGCTTACAATGTTTATGCCCTACACAACTATGTTGTCAGGGTATTATAGCTTTGTGTAGACCTAAGAGTTTGTAACAATATATTGATCCTAGACCCACCTTTGAGTATACCGATCGTCATACCTCGACTAGCTGAGTCATCTAGACATGTGTGTCCGTCCGTCTGTCCATTGTAATTTGTAAAAACGATACAGGCCACAGTTATGGACCAATCTTCACGAAATTTGCATGTAGGATTGGTAATGATCGGTTAATATTTAGGGGATGAAATGGGCCAAATACTTAACTTTTGTCGGTGTTTCTGGTCGCTCCAGAGGCCAAAGAATAAGCATGTTTTTTTTATAAAGATCGGTCATTATTTATATTTACTCCTGAAGGACATAGACCCGAGAAGTATTATTATTGTATGTACTCGGATATGATGTGTGCTTACGTATTTATATATTATTTAGAAACTTATTAACATTAGAGGGCAGAAATATAGCTTTACAAAAGGTTCTAGTTATGGTCAAAGACAACGCCTATAATTTTCGGTGATGATCACGAGTCGATATATAGGCCATAAGCCGAACATGACAACAAAACCCACGATGAAGGGAATCTGGATAAGTAATTAGAAGGGCTATACTGAATATTGTGAATATTCGGAAAATATGTCCGTGTAAGGAAGAGGTGCTGTTGACCTTTTGTTGTCACAAAATATTTCACAGGCTCGGAATAAAAATCCGAAAGAAAAGAAAGTTAGAGTTCGTGGTATTTGTGTAGGGACTATACTATTTGTACCGGACTATACTGCTCCGCTCACTGGTTATTTATGGCTTAGTATTCCCTCATGTTGCAAACTTTTCGGCCTGGTCAAACTTAACACCAGTTATATTTGTTTGTTAAACGGACGGTTACTATAACCTTCTTATGCCCATTTTGTGTTTAAATTTACAGCATTTAGCCAATTTCAGTTATAAATTTATTTCAAACGATTAACATATTTAAGGTATAATTTTTACTATTTGTGTTGAATAATAATGAAGATAGCTAATAACAACAAATATAAGAAAACAAACTGAAATACTATTGTTTATAGTGAAACGAATTTTTTTGGAAGACCGTTTAACCTTGAATGGAAAAATAATAGCAAAACATTTGTCAACTTTGCCAATAGTTTAAGTTTTTAGATATATTTACAAAGCTACACATACATACATATATATGTGAATAATCCCAGCCGTGTTACTCATTTAATCTTCTAAGTTTATTTTGAAATTGCAGCCAACAAAACCACTTTTCCATACAAGTGATATTTTTTATGTAATCATTGGCTTTTAATAGAATTACGAAAAAACACACATTTTCTTATGGAAAACCGGTTCTGAATTTTCCACTTACCCTAAATGTACAGTTTTAACATCTATTTTTCTTTTTTCAAAACGGAAAATTGTCTGCCATCGTGTAGGCAATGGTGGAGGGGCTTGAAAAAGAGGTCATTGATCGTGACGACAACAATGTTACCTGTTGTGCATCAGACCGACAGAAGGTAGGCATTGTTTAGGCCACCACAACTACCGGCTAATTCTGACTAGGCTATGTTTTATTTTGTTATTCTTCGTCTTTGCTTATTGTTATTATTATGTTTACGCGATCTATCTATCTATCCAGTTATTTTCCATTGACAATTTCAAAACAACAAAGACCTGTTTTTGTGGCATTTCTTCAACAGCAAAAACAACAACCAAATTAACATCTTTCTTCGACGTGTTTTTTTTTCGAGTTCCAAACAATACGAGAATATATACGTGTTAATTTTTCTTAATTCTGAAATCATCAACAACGAACGTCGTACGTTTTTTAAAAATTCAACTCCAAGAGAAATAAATAAAAATTCACTTACCTTGACTGCACTGGCTACAGCAATTATAGCCACAAATAATCCCACAATTTTTTGACTCATGACTGCCAGGCCGATGATTTAAATTCCAAAAGTTGTTGTTATTGTTTTTCGTTGTTGTTGTAATGTTTGTGCATGAAATTAATTAGAAAAAAAGATAAATTTAAATTAAAAACAATTTGTAAGTAGTTTTTTTATTTTCCGTGAAATCTTACCGTTCTACTGCGTTGTTCAACACCGACTGTTTGTTACTGACTTTAAGCCGTGGTTTTGTTGCCACAATGAGAGGGGGTTATTTTGTAAACAATAACAGCCATCTGTAGAGCTTGACGCATTTTGGGTTGGGTTCGTCCGTTCGTTAGTTCATCAACAGAAAAACATGTTTTGAGAGTAGTTTTTGTTACTCTCTTTATTATCTTGGGTTTGGATAACTCAAATGGAGAGTTAGATAAATTCAGCATTTTAACCCTTACACCAACGATCATTATTAATTCAGAATAGTTATAAGCATGGTACAATCATGGTACAATAATACAAGGTAGGGCAGCTTGAGGTGAATAACAAAAAAGCAACTATGCACGTGTGGCTTCTTCTGCCAAAAATAAAATAAATATACGCAACAAGTGTTTGTGTTTATTTGACTTTTTTCAACATAAAACTAAAAACGCGAAAAATGAATGAAGGGTTATGATTTCTTCCCAAAATCCAGCAGGGAATACCATAAAATGTTTTTTTCATCCATAACAAAGTAAATGCTTCTTAAAAAATCATTTTCATTTCAATTAAATTTGAATATATTTCAATTCATTTTGAATTTATTTGACATATTATTCAAAACAATACACACACATACACAAAATATGTATTTTGATTTGATGGAACAAGCCACCTTGAGAAAAAATTGTAATCAGTCGGTAGCTGTGCCCTACCTTGTAATAATTATACCATGCGTGTGGCTTCTTCTGCCACAAAATAAAATAAATATACGCAACAAGTGGCTGTGTTTATTTGACATTTTTTCAACACAACTAAAAACGCGAAAAATGAATGAAAGGTTATGATTTCTTCCAAAAATCCAGTAGAGAATACCATCAAATGTTTGTTTCATCCATAACAAAGTAAATACTTCCAGAAGTACGCGTTAAAAACATAATTTTCATTTCAATTAAATTGGAATATATTTCAAATTATTTTGAATTTATTTGACATAGTATTCAAAACATTAAATACAAACACATTGATAGATGTGCCCTACCTTGTAATAATTATGCCATGGTTATACAAAATTTTAATCATGGTCTGGGAGGTGGAAAATTCATTCTGTGGATGAAAGCCATTGCCGAGTATATTAAGAACCCTGAATGACAAATTGGCCATAGGTAAAATTTTAAGCTATATCGCAATGGATTTTTAGCTAGTAATTCATAAAAAAATCCTTCATATCGTTGAACACTAGTTTCTTTATGAAGGAGTTGTCAGATCGAAATTTAACATGTGTTCATAACAGAGATGGAAGTTTCCAAAAAACTTGATTTTTTTCTGTTTATACCGCACTTTTTGTGTTAGGCTAAGAACTTTCCGAACTGCCCTCGTATCTAATTATGCTCAATACGTTAATCGAATTTTCAGATAATCAACGAGATGTTGTACCGGTTTAAATCAACCGATTAAACGTATATACATATCATTTGAAATCTAGCCAAATTGCTAATCACATGGAATAAATTGTTACCGGCCCTGTGGCACTAATACGTAGCTCCTTGACTAACTCCGCTTATGATTACTAAAATTTCTACATAGTTCGTAGACATTCTTGATTGAAATTTCTTCACTGAAGTCCCCTATCCGCTGCCCTTTTCCATCTTCGAACCATCTGCAAAAAATGAGAGATCGTTTAGAGGAGCAAGCCGCTCCGCACAGGAATCTATGCTATAATCACTTGAGTATATACACTGCGTATCATAACTATAGACGCCCCCTAATTCAATTGGTATGTTAGTTGAGAAATAAAATGGACCCATTATGTTATAAATATTATAAATAAAACGATTAAAAACACATATTCTTCAACAAAAATAATTAATTTATTCTTTATGGTTTCGCCGAATTCTGCACTTTCAAAATTGCTGGTGTTGCATAACTATAGACGCACTTTTACAAAATTAGAAAAAATTTATTTTAAAAAACTTAAATAAAATAAAATAACTTTTATAAATAATTATTTTGAATAAGTTCAAAAATTTTATCCATCACACTGCTGATCAAAATTATTCGCAAGTCTTCATCGATTGACCGCCATTCATCGAAAATCACTTCTTGGAGGTAAAATACAGTTTGGTATTGGAGGTTTTCTGCATAGACACGATGAGTCAAGATTCCACACATGTTCTCGATCGGATTCTGGATTTTATGGCATCATGGAAATGTCAAATAAAGCATTCCGTGGCTATAAAATGCTCATTGTCTTCAAAAAAACCCTATAATACTCCAAATAATTTTAACAAACACTATAAAGAATTATTATATTTTATGGCATCACCGAAAAATAATTCGAGTTGTTACAAATTCAATATTTTCGTAAATTATTGATTGTAAAATAAAACACTATTTTGTAATTAACAGCAATAGTGGAAGGCCCATTGTATTCGTTATACGCGTTCGTTTAGTAAGACCACTCGCAACGTATCACATGCATGTACCGATTACCGCCAACAGATTTCATTACTATATGACGGCGTCAACAGTACTCTTAATCCGGCACAGGAACTTGTTGTTTATCAAAATCAATTAATGACAAGTTGAACATTCCTATTTCTAATTTTTTTTAACAATTAAGACAATTAAGAGACGATCAACTTCTATCAAAATGACAAATCTACAACGTTGGCTGATGTATTTGGTTCTGTTTCTCATTCCATATTTTGCATTGCTATCGGCCTCCATAAAAACACCCGGTCTGCAAATGTTGTTGGTGCCTCTACAGGTTTTGCCTTACGTGTTGGTTTTGATGTTCGGTGTAAGTAATAGGAAACCAATGGAAATAAATGCAATGTGATATTATGAATATATATGTAAATCTATTAAAATTATTCGTTTGTCTTTGTAGTTTTATGCCGCTGGTACAGTTCTTTATCGTACATTTACATTCAACGATTGTCCAGCAGCTGCTGCTGAGTTGCAGAAGGAAATTGAAGAGGCACGCAAAGATTTGATCGCCAAAGGATTTAGATTTCGTGATTAGATCAATGTTTGAAAATAGGACTGGATCGTTTATTACATGTACAACATGTTTTAGATGTACTTAGTAATAGTATGGTGATGTTAGAAGCAAATTTTCTAAAATTTACAATACATGAATATGTAGCATTAAATCGTGTAATAAAAAAAATTTATACCAAAATGTCATCAGGGTTTCACTGCTTGAAGATATAATCCAAAAAATACATTAAAATTTTACAGGAAATATATACTTCTCGATATTGGATCCAAACACACAGTAATAATGTATTTTGAAGCGTAAGCAAATTATAGTGTTTTGAATCCTGATTATGAATCCTATAGTTCACGAGGTATGGGACTTCAAGCTATACATCGTGATGTATAGAATTCCGAATTGGTTCTTAATTTGAGAACAAATCCTAATCTACCATGTGAATTAGTATTTCGAATGGATCCACAAGCTGTCAACATGTGTATCAATTTTTCTATACTCTCCACCAAATGAAATATTCACCCGAAACTGCATACGTTTTTAAAAATTCTTGATCAGAATAAAATTTTATGTCGATTTAATCATGATTGTCTGTCCACCTGTGGAATATAACGCTCGCAATATTTAAGATAGAGGTTTGAAATGTTACACATACGATTCTTAATCGTTCTAGTACAGTACACATAAACGTTTTGAATTAATTTTTTTTAAATATTCCAATTATATGTGTGCTAATTATATGACCGGCACTGTACATTTCGCCTGTCCCAGAAACTGCAAGGGTCCTCTATTAATCGAATAAGTTTCCAATTTTCCCTTCATACATACCAATTGCTAATACTTCTATGAGGTCTGGTGTTTAAAATGGCATATATCGCTCCAGTTTTTAGTATTGCCACCATATAACGGTATCCCCAAATATTCAGTAGTTAGAAAATTCAAGGTAATTGAATGACTGTAAATTGGCACAACATCTTCCTTCCAATAGTGGACTTTTTAGAATAGCCCCAATACAATGGTACCCCCTTTATTCTATATTTTTGGGATTATGGACACGTATTTAACCTCTAATTTGGTTCTCAAATTCTCCAATAAAATCATGGTTCCGAACGAAAACTATTACTTGAAATGCCCAACTCATTCCGTCAACAATAATATTTTAATTTCTTCTTAAATTACAGTTGCCTAGATGAATATACCTGAAGTAAATTTACTTTGATTCTGATGTACAAATTATCTAAAAAGGACCTATTAGTTTAGAACAGGAGATGAATATTTCGTACATGTTATTTTGAAGAGCTTTCCGAGTCGGCATTCTTCTTTTTTCTACTTATGTTCACCTCAAATTGATAACGCTAAAGAATTGTTGAAAATTTATACTTATACTAGTCGGCGGTAGATGGCGCCACCCTATAAATTTAATTTACCATTCGTTGTCTATGACGATTATTTTTACAGTCATGGCCGAAAGATGTAATCCCGAAATTTCTAATAAATTAATTTCCTAAAAACCTAATTTGTATTTATTCTGTTTGTTATTTTGTACTCCCTCAGTCTCATGGTTCTCAAACGATTATATTTCGGAGAAAATATGTATCGGGTTATCTGGTTTGATATCAACTGGTATGACTCACTTTTAAAAACAAAAATCCTGTAATTGATATAAATGGCCATACCACAAATACTGAGTAAACCAAATCAACAGCAAATTATATTTGAAAGTTTTAAACGTATTTTTATTTATTTTGAACTAACTCTTGATTTTTGTTTTATTATTGTAAAGTATGATTAAGATTGTGTATTTTGTAAACGTCGTTCGAGATACTTTCATTGTTCTTTTCGAATGCAAATCATCTTATCCCCACCCAACAGAGAATATATTTATTAAGTTAATATATGTTTGTTTGTTTCAATAATATGCCATGCCGAAAATTGTAATTTGTGTATTTGAAATAAATAACCATAAATTACCAGGGTGTATTACCAACAAACACTCTTTTGCTTCTTGTTTCCTGCTCGGCTCTGTAATATATTAAAATATGCAAGAATGACGGAAGGAAAAATACCAAATATACGAGTATTGTTGTGTTGGAATGAACAACCGAATCGAACAAAAATGCATGCCATATTCCATAAAATCAAAAATGGTTGCATTTAATAATCAAATATAGTTTAAGTAAGTGGTATTACTACTACGAGATATAAATATATATGTATGCAGCATGTAATATAATATATATAAAGTTACAAATACAGCGGTGTATATAATGTACATTCATAAATTTTCAATGTTTCTATTCCTTGATGTAATTTAGACATTTCTTCTGTCTGCTGATTAGCTAAAACGTATTACAATATCTACTAATGAAACGGTTGATAGATAGGTTGATCGATTGATTTATTCCTTCCAGCCCAAAGACGAATGAAGAATTATTCATCGGGTCTTCTAATTCTTGAATTTGTTATGTTATATGACATTGATGCTTGATATTTTGTATTCAGAAGAACGTTACGGAAATAGCCAAATAGTTGCCGCAGAAATGTGGTAGTGGTTGATACAAAATTTAAACACAAAAGATTTTTGAATTTCCAGTTCTAGATTTTGCAATATATTGTTTATGTTCGTGGTTTTGTGTTTCAAATGAATGTTCTAATTTTTTATTATTAAAACGAGGAATAGTGAGAGTTAGCAATAGGGTTAAGTTACATGTATGGTTTGCTGCTGTTGCTGCACTCTTGCTCAGCATGGTTGTTTTCCTTTAAATCTTCTGATGTATTTTTGTGGGAGTAGTTTGTTTATAAGCTGGATTCGCCGTTTTATAATTAGTTACACATGCTTCTTAACTTGAGGAACATTGCTGTACTCTGGGTCCTTCCTCATAGCGATCATCTTCTTCGTACGCCATGCGATGATGATGCTGATCCCGGCGTTGCTTAGGATCAAATTCAGACTGTAAGATGCAAAAAATAAATAAATACAAATTATGCAAGATTTCGTAATGATGGGATTACAATATAAATGATTTCAATAGGAGCCGGAACTACAAATAGAAGATGGAACAACAACTTACCAATGTGACTTGTTCAGCATCTATTGGAATGGTTACTTCTGGTCTAGGTGGCAAACATTGCTCCAAAGCGGGAATAATAGAAACTGGAATTGATTCGGGGAAGATCACTTCAAATTGGATGATGAGGCGACCCTTTTCAAGTGGATTCTTGTACAGGGGCATACCCTCATCCATTATACACTTCGTCATTTCATGTTTTATAACTTCGCCTGGAGGTGATGTGATAACTAAATCACGATCATCTAGTGTCTTGATCACCCTACTGAAACCGCACAAAGCCTCTACCAATTGAATGGGCATCTTCATCATTAAGTCTGTGCCAGCGTGAACGAAGGTCTGATGTTCTTTCTCGTCCAGTAAAATAATAATATCGCCGGGCTGGGAGTCGGGTTCATGGTCACCTTCGCCGCTGAATACAATCTTCTGGCCGTCACGCATACCCTTTTCAATGTGCACTTCGAGAACTTTACGTTCGCGCACTGTCTTTCGGCCGTTACACTGTTTGCAACGATCCTTCTCCGAAATCATCTCACCAGAACCGGCACACTTGCGACAAACCTGTTCGATGTGTTGGACCAAACCGGGGCCGATTTGTTGGATGCGTGATTCCAAACCGGCACCATTACATTGCATACACTTTTCAATAGCTCCTTTCCTGCCACCGCGGCCCTCGCATTTGTCACAGATGACATTCTTTTGCAGGGCCAATTTGCGTGTTGCTCCATTGTACAATTCCTCCAATTGGACAGACATTTGATGAACAACATCTTTGCCGCGGCGTTCACGACGACGGCCCGATGTGAAACCACCACCGAAGAATTTCTCAAAGAAGTCCATGGGATTGCGGAAATCTCCGGTGTCGGCACCGCCCTTCTTGATAGCAGCTTCGCCACCCTCGTCATAAATGGAACGTTTATCGGGGTCGGACAATACCTCGTAGGCCTGAGAAATTGCTTTGAATTTTTCACCCTCATTTGGGTTTTTGTCTGGATGATATTTCAGGGCCAATTTTCTGTAGGCCTTCTTCAATTCATCAGGCGTGGCATTGGGTTTGACTCCCAACAGGTCATAATAACCGGTTTCTTTCACCATTTTTCAAATAATTGTGTGTATTTGTGGGCTTAACGATTTTTTCTTGCTGCTTTTATCAAATAATTTCTTCTAGTTGTGGAAGAGGAGCCTACTTCCTTTTTTGTGTCCTCTTTCTTGTTGGCTTTTTTGTGAATGTTGTTGTACACACAAAGATGACAAAGGGATGAAAAGGATCTGGAAGAAAAAAAAACAAAAAATTAAAATGCTGTATATTTTTTTGTAAACAGAGTTGCCAAACAATACGGTTGTTTCTAATTTCCCCCTCTCTTTTGAAATATAAATAAAATAATTATACATTATAAACAATTTATTTGCTATGAACTTTCGATACACTTCTAAAATATTTAAATCGATTGAATCAATCATTTATCTGTCGCTCATACTACCTACTATGAAATAAATATGTAGTATAATTGTGTTTTCTTGTGGGATGTGTGCACGTTTGAATGCGACGTGACGTCGATATGGAAATCAAGGTCAACCGCCCCCATGTGTTTGAGGGGGATGGTTGTTTTGGCGAAAACGTTTGTAAAAGTAACAACATCGAATAGTGATTAGTAGTATAATATTAAGTACGGAAATGTGGTTACCAGGTAACTATGAAGTGCATAGTGGTGCTGGTGAATAACGAAAATTTGATAATAGTTGTAGAAAACTACAAATTTACAAACACCTGCCGTCCTATTAGGGACATGAAATGTAGGGCTGTTCCTATCCTGTTAGACCAGAATTAACCTCCAGCTGTCAATTTCATTTTATATTGACCATGTGGTCTAAATGTGTACTACTTTGGCCTTATATAAACGTATACTTTTGTAGGTTCATTGGGGAAATTGTATGAATTGAGTTTTGATTACGAATTTATCAAAAATATTTTAAGGCTTTGGTTACCAATGACGTGGACTTAAAGACCACAAATGGTGGTGTTGTAGAAGCTCTATTGCTTTAACACAATGGGCTTAATTTACAGACGTTGGTAGAGAAAGACCCCTCTGTCCCGAAAACGAGACCAAAAATGTCTGACTTGTTGAGGGCTCCGATCGTGGTTATCTCCTATTTTATTTATTTACTATGTACCACGTACTTATTTGGTTTTTGGTTTAAAAAAATTAAGGGAACAAACAATTATGATATAGATAAGACATATCGATATACATATAAGAATTGTATTTACATTTGAATTGACTTTTTTCATAACATTTTTTTAGTAGTATATGTATATCGACATGAAATTCCTTTGAAATAATACTTCCAAAAGTGCCGCCCTTTGGTCGAGTATAAGTCGTCAAGTAATCCGAGATGAGTTTCTCCTAATGCCAACTTAAGACGATCTTTTATCCCAAAAGGACTCAAACTCGAAAAATAACTTCTATTAGAAAAATAAAAATTGCTGAACAATTGGAGATACTAATTTTGGATTCTAATACCTCGGAGTGTATTTACAGTATTCCCCAATAGACGCAAACGTAAAATGTTTATTAAAAAATTCGGAATAAAACTTCATTATAATTTAACCACATAGCCAGCCCCATTATTTCCGATTTTTCTGAATCTGAAATGGGAAAATGTATACTTTCCAAAATATAGGGGTTTCAATTTTGGTGGGAGGTAGTTTTATAGGAAAGATAAGCCAAATTAACTTAGTCATAACCATAATCAATACCTGAAACTGTTTATTCCTGATGATGAAAAAAGGTCAAGAAAATCATGTGTAAAGATCAGCAGTTAAACCTCCTACTTTTTTAAATTCAAAGTTTGATATTTTAAAGTAGTCGATCAAAAAAAAAAAACGGTGTGCGAATACGGTCCTCTTCTTCTCGATCAAATATTTTGTTTCGCATACACTCAGCATGACGTCAAATAAACAGAACATTTTATAATAAAAAAAATATACATATTATATCGAGGTACACGATTATCTTTCTATTATTTGCCTGCTCTGTAGTAGAAACAGTCATCGTGTATTTTCTAGATATTTTATTAAACGACGACGACAACGGCTACGAACAGCACATTGCACACATGAAGAACTACAATGATGACTATGGCATTCCCTCCTGTCTTTTTCCATGTTTTTGCACCAAACTCAAACGCCGAACGCCGCCGCCGCTGACAGCTGCTCTAACAAGTAAATACAACACTGGGGTTTGGGGGTAACAACGAGTAAACACACTCTCGCACACACATGTAAACAACACAACCAATGGAACCACGAACAAAAGGAAGAAATAAACTAAAAAATACGCAAAAAATTTCTATCTGCTTCCACATGTTCTCAAAAGAAAGAAATGAAAATGAGGAAATAAAAACTATTTTTCAGGTTGATGTTCTGTTTGCCCAAAAAAGAGATCACGCTTTTAATTTAATTTCAATTCCAAATAGATAATCATTGAAAACAGTAGATAATTTTGAAATGAAAAATAAATATTGCAAAAAATTGTGATATTTAAATTTTCCACAATTTAACATGATAAGCATTTTTTAGTCTTGACTAAATACATACTGACTGATATATATGGCGATACTGTCAAAGGGCAACAGACAATAAAGGGCAGGTGATTTCTTCAGTCCCCCAGAAAAAACCTAATATTGTAGGAAATTACCCAAATCGACGGATTTCTTTCATCACATTTTTTCTGCCTAGGGCAAATGAATTACATAAATTTTGCTCTTAAATTAACAAAAAAAAACAGATGAATGTCACAGTCAAGTCAGGGAAGAAAGTTGAAGAACCCATTCGGCGACATACACACGCACAAATTCTCATTTTTTCTCACCACAAATGCGTCACTTGGTAACAGTTATACAAAGAAAATGGTAAACTTTTGCACAATTTTACCTTTTCGGATGTCAGGTAAACTTTTTCGTTCAATTTGTTGCGAAAAATTTTTTTAAATAATCTAAAAATAAAATGTGTTTCTTCTTTTTGTACTAATGTACCAAGTCCCTTTTTAAAAATACCGTTCAGATTTATTTGTTAAATGCACTCTTTGTTTCTCTTATAATTTTTTTAATATTGACTTTTATTTTTACTGACAATTTTCTAGATAATTTGTTCTCCCTTTACAACAAAAAGAAATACTAATAAATATTGGCAAATGGAACTCACACAAAAAATGATCCGTCGCGCAATACTTTTATTTTACGAATGGATGGCGTTTTCCTTCGTTTCTTCAATTTTCTAGAAGTCGAATTGCCAATCGTTTGTTAGACAGAATGAGAGTGTTACCAATTGTGTATTCCAAAAACTAAGCTTCTTTTTTCCCCATATGTTATGCAACGTGAAATGTTATCCGAACAATTTAGTGTGTGTTCCGGCACAAAAAGCACAACGGATTCATTAGTTAGCGTGGTTTTATATTTGTCGGGATCGGTATCGGTGTTGAGAGTTTCTCTCTCTCTCAGTGGTAAATTGTGAATTGTGTTGGAAAACATTACCACAGGTAGGAACAAAAAAGTACGAAAAGGTACCTGAAATTCTACTTCAAATGATAATAAATCATAATTATCGATAAATATTGGTCAATATTTATACCAGTTATTTGCATAAATAATATATGTTATAATTTAAGCGTAAATGTATTCAAGAATAATAAAAAATCTAATTTTTGTTTTGGTACGTTTATGTCAATTCGTACCTTTTGTGAACAAAAAGTACGCTTGTTACAAAATTAAAAATAGCGCAACTCTCAGGAGAGAGAAACTCTCAACACCGATGCCGATCCCGACAAATATAAAATCCTTGTGGTTGTTGTATTTTCTATAACAAATGACGCGACGGATGGCTCTATGTATCGCGTTAACGCACGCCTTTTCCACAGGCAAATTTTTATTTGTGCGAGGAAGAAAAACAAAACTTTGCCTGTTCAGAATTTGCGGTACACGCAAATTCTGCTTTGCTCTGTTCGTTGAAAACAATTTTGTTGACATTTCCTCTTGAACCTATTTGTTTTACTGACACACAGCCGGCTTTTGTTTACAAAACTGTTGGTTTAATTTGTGCAAGTGAAATTTAATTTTTTATTTTTGCAATTTATATAATAAAATACATAAACAAAATAAATAAAATATTAAAAAATCTTTAAAAACACTTTTGACGTTTCTTTCTTTCTTTGGTATTTTGATTCGCAAGTTTGGCAAAAATTTGCTAGTTGAAAAGCTCGCGAACATTTCAAAAGAGAAAACAAAAAATTTGCCAAATAACAATTTGCCTGTGGAAAAGGGGACGAAGCACACATCAACTTCAAGCGAATAGCTCATCGGATCTATTCTGCTTACCAGAATAATGAACAATGAGAGTCACAAACATGACTCTGATATCCTTTATATTTCGGCGTTTAAAAAGGATTTTAGGATATCTTACGCCTATTTCTTTTAAGGGCTAAGCAAAATGTTCGCGTTGAGCTATCAGTCGCGTTATGTGTTATCGAAAATACATCAACCACAAGGAAACGATAACACTAACATTTGAATTTTATGTGCGTACATCATCGGGATAAAGGGTTAAGCAGAATGCTCGCGTTGAGCCATCCGTTGCGTTTTGCGTTATCGAAAATCAACAACCACAAGGAAACGATAACACTAAAGGGTAAAGCAGAATGCTCGCGTTGAGCCATCCGTCGTGTTATATGTAATCGAAACTACAACTACCACAAGAAAACGATAAACACAACTTTTTGCGTGCGTTAACGCAATAACAAAAAACGCTCAACGCGAACATTCTGTTTAGCCCTTAACGCATGAAGTTGATGTGCGCTGCGCTTTGAAATTAAATATATTTTAACTTTTTGCGTGCGTTAACGCGATAACAAAAAACGCTCAACGCGAACATTCTGTTTAGCCCTTAAAGGGCTAAGCAGAATACGCCATCCGTTGCTTTTTGTGTTATCGAAAATACAACAACACAAGGAAACGATAACACTAACGCATGAAGTTGATGTGCGCTGCGCTTTGAAGTTAAACATAACATAAAAATATATGTACACAACTCCTTAGAGCAACGTACCTCAAATTCATAACGCGGCGAATGACACTATAGGCCCGTTTTTTTTTGGCTTGAACGTGGTTTTCAACATATGGCAACAACCATGGTACAATTATTCAAGGTAGGCCATAGCAACTTGTAAATTACAATTTTTTCTTACTGTGGCTTGTTATGCCAAAGTCATTTTTTGAAAAATATAACAAAAAAAAATACGAAAATCGTTTTGTTTGAAGATGAATTTTACAACATTTGAAAGGAATACCATTTTTTGTAAAATGTTAAAAATATGCCAGACATATGATTCCAATTTTTTCATAATTTGACTTTTGACAATATTCAGCTTTCAAAATCTAAATATCACCCTTCGAAATGTACGCACAACACGTGCTCAGTGGCAATAACTATTACAAAATGTTTAATATTTCTATCTTGTTTTATTTTATCTTATTATCATCTTCAAGAAATTCCCTTTTAAAGACCTCATAAAAATTGGTCATTATCGAAGAAATCGACCAAGAATTTAGTTTCGATTATATAATCGATATTTGTCGATTTATCGATTACCACGCAATTCGACCTATGCATCCCTAGAGAAGCGAAAGAGAAGAATAAAAATAAAAATGGCGTGTCAAAATAATATAGCGTCGTCTAATCGTATCGTATTTTTGTGAAATTATTTGTGATAACTTCTTAATAAAACGTTAAAAAACTATTCGAGTCAGTAGCCATATGCAAAAACTAATTAATTATCGAATCAATGTGTGTTGCGAATAGTGCTGAAGACAAATAAACTGAAAAGACGGCATAACCTCGAAATTTTGTGACATAAATATTGGTAATATGAAAGAAGGAAAATTGCCGCCTAAAATGATGGGTGGTGTTGGCGGCAGTGCACCGACAACAACAATGATCCAGTGTTCACCAACAATATCATCGACCTCGTCTAGGGGAACATCTGCGACACAGTCCAGTCCGGTTTCCTCGTCGACGCCGAGCAAGCAGCCCAGTGATGAAATACTCAGCTCATTGCTGAGGATGAACAATTTCGACTCGATATCGAGTATTAAAGACGAGTCTTTGGATATCGACTTGTCGGCTTGTGTAACAATAAGTGCCGATCCGTCCGGCATGATTGGAGGCAATAGTTTGTCGTCTTCGGATTTTTGGAAAGCGTTGGACGAGAGTGCACAGACATCGCAGTTGGATGTGAGTGGCGGCGGCGGTGGAAGTGGATCTGCGAGTGGAGGAAGTGGTGTTGGTTGTAGTAGATCTCCACCGTCACCTTCTCCATCGAGCAACAACAGCATTTTAAACACGAGCGAGAAGGGCGACTTGGGTATGGTGTTAAAGAAGGAACAAACAGATTTCAGTGGAACTTTCCTGAAACCTTCATGTGGTATAACATTTTCCCCATTAAAGCGTTGTAGCAAAGCACCGAGCACGGAACAATTACATCTGATGAAGGATAAATCACCAACCAGAATAGGCAAACTGGAAGGACCAAACCAAAACAACAACACTGGTGGGCCACCCTCATTATCGCCCATAATCCGTATAAATCAATTTCCAAAGCCAACGCTTGACTTGCCCAGATTGAATGGCGGAACAGTTACCATTAAAAAGGAATCAATGACAAGCAGTGACCAGATGGCACAGCCACCGCCTTTGGCAGCTTTAGATTGTACCGTAAATAAAAACGAAACAGCTCCAACTAAAGTTATCTTGGAACCCATGTACAAATGTTTAGATTGTGATGTCGCCTTTCAGGGCAGTCAGGAATTGGCAAATCATAACAGTCATCGTATGATCTATAAATGCATGGAGTGTGATCGTGAATTCGATGCAGAACCATCATTGAAGAAGCACTTGAAAACCCATCGACCAATCGATGCTCGTAAAGATGCATGGAAAAAGTGTCCCGACTGTGGAAAGTGGTACGTATCGTAATTGTTAGTGTTAGGGTGTTTTATTTTTGCTGAAGAGAAAACATTTTCAAATGTCTTGAAAAAAAAAATTAAGAAATATTTACTGTTATTAAGGGGAATTAGGGTAACATTTATATTGGCAAGAATTATTTAAAATCCATATTTCCGAAATATGTTTGAAAATTGGAAAGTATTTTAATGAAATTAGTTATTATTCCAACCAATTCCCACCAATATTCCCTTCGGATAAATAATTGATTTTTTGTTGTAGCGACCTTTATTTAGCCTAGGTTTGAGACTTTTAACTAGGGACCGTTGTATACATGTCTTAACAACACTTAAAACATATACATTTTGATATCACCTTCCTTTTGGTTCCTATTGGCATGTGTGGGTAAAGCCAAGATTTTCCCTTCAGATTTTGTAGACTTTCTAATTTGACTTCTTGTAAAGAAACCCTAAATGATCCAAATAAGATTATATTTTATTGGCTTCCACATGTACAGGAAAATGGATTCGAGTCAATATCAATGTCGATCTTTAAATTCATTATAATATACATACATTTTAGTTATAAACATTTAAGATAAAATAATATTAACAATTATTTTATTGTTTTATTTCAGCCTTAAACTGGGTAGCATGTGGATGCATCGTAAAATACACACAGAAAATAAAAAGTACGGCTGTGAAATATGCGGACAGAAATTTGTCCAGAAAATCAATTTAACACATCATCAGCGTATCCATACCTCAGAGAAACCATACGAATGTTCCGAGTGTCAGAAACGTTTTCAGGAACGTAGCCATTTGCAACGCCATCAGAAATACCATGCCCAGACACGATCGTATCGTTGTGAGAAATGCGGTAAAATGTACAAAACCGAACGATGTCTCAAAGTCCATAACTTGGTGCATTTGGAGCAACGACCATTCGCTTGTACGGTTTGCGACAAATCGTTTATATCCAATTCAAAATTAAAGCAGCATTCGAACATACACACCGGCGAACGACCATTCAAGTGCAACTATTGTCCTCGAGATTTCACAAATTTCCCCAATTGGCTGAAACATACTCGTCGTCGTCACAAGGTCGACCACAAGACGGGCGAAATGCTAGAGAACATTCCTTCATATTGTTCCAAGAAATCGACACGAACACCAAAGGAGAAGAAACCCAATGGAACCGACACTAAAAATACCACAACGACAACGCCAGCAAGTCAACAAAATTCTGCCTCTACGACGAATCTAAATGGGAATAATGGCATTGATCTCAATAAAATGGACACGACGTGTGACTCCGGCACCAATACTGCGACTACATTAGTTGCATCTGTTGTTCCTCTAGGCACTACGGCTGTTACGGTAGCATCAAAGACATCTGTCGCTACTACCGTTGCGAATACTGTCGTTGTTAATAACATTGGACCACCGCCGTTGGCCAAAGTTCCGGCCAAACGTAAGAAAAAAGTACAACCTGTTGCAATAAATACAACAATAAAAACCGAAAAGGACATTGTTGCGACCACAGCCAACTTCATTGTCACTGCAGCTCAGAATTCACATATTGTGAATATGTCAACGTCGAACGGAATAGGCCCACCACCCTTGGCTTTGGTCTTTAGCACAAAACCCATGATGGTTTCGGGTAATATGTCGCCCAGCACAAATGCGACAGCCGCCTCTTCATCTATTAACAATTCACCTCTAATGCCCACTCAACAGCCGAATATTAAAGTTGAGAAAGTTAAAAGAGAGCGCAAACAGTCGATGCCAAAGCAAGTGCAACAAGTCCCTCCACCAATAATAATCAAGAAGGAATTTATAGAGCCAAAAGCTGAGCTGCACGCTGGACACAATGATCCACATCGAACAACACAACAACAGCATGAGCCGCCGCCGCAACAACAAGCCAAAACACCATTCCCCGATCTGCATTGCCTGAGTATAACATCAGCTGAGGAATTGATTATGGAACAGGCCTTGGAAATGGAGGAATGTGGTCTGTATAAACCCACCTCAGCGGCAGCTACTACAGTTATGCCCACTTTTGCCGAAACTGATAATGCAATCTCTTCCGAATCGGTGGCGAATATGCATTTTAAGATAAAAGAAGAGCATCATGATATGGATTTAAAAACAGAGGACTATGGTATGTTGTTATTATATTATTAAATTCTGTTAGTTTTCATATAAACCTATAAATGTGTGAGGGTAGATCAGTTCAATATGTAATTCATACATTTTTCAATATTATTTGGAGGAGTGTTAAATTCGTATTACTACATAGATGTTTATTAAATAATTTAAGGACCTTTGAAAAGGCCAGATAAGTCTGGTAATTCTTCTAATATTTTGCTTAAAAAATATTATATATTTTACCATAAGGTGGTATGTATATTAAATTTTTTATTCCATTTCAAGATACTTACCGAATGAAATATATTTAATGCACATAATGTACATATACATGTAGTTCACTCGACATATGTAGGTGAATTTCTGTTATTTGGACTCTGCTTAACCCTTATGATCATACAGGACCATTGTACCTCTATTGTTGTACTACTCTAGATATAAGGATTCCGACCGATTTTAGATGGCTTATTCATTTCATTCAATTGCGTATAACATATATTTATAAATATACTAATATTCTATTTTTCTTTTCAGATTCCATTAAGAAAAGCATATCATCCCTGGAATCATCACCTTTCTCTTCACCAGCTTCCATGGAATTTGCCACCTCACAAACATCTGCAAATGATTTCAATCCGACAAATACATTTTATTTACCCCAATTCACAATTACAAACAATCAAATTATCTCCAACAACTCGCCCACAATTGCTGGTTCCATGAAAGTCGAAGATTCCAATAATGCAACAACGGCAGCAACGCGACAAGTACGACAGCTGGTGGCAACAAATATCAATGGTGTGCCGGAACTCATACAACTAACGAATAGTAGTGGCGGCAATTCTAGATTTGTAAAATCGAATATGGTCTCAAATGTCAACAACAGCAGCTCTACGACAGGCAATGACAACACCTCATCCTTTATCAATCAACTGTATTTACCGCTCACTGTAAATGCCGGCCCAGTTCTGATGAAATCACATCAAGCTTTACCTTCAGTTGATACGCTTTTGTTCTCGCACTCGAAGCTGGCGCTGTTCAACAATCGTAATTTACCAAAACAAGCAACAACAGCTCAACACAATTTGTCCTAATCCAAAGTTGAAACAACTTTTCACTAGTTAGTTGCAAAGCCACAGAATATTTGATGAAGAGTTTTAGATTTTTTGTTGTTCATCATAAAACACCGTTTGACTTTTCTATGTTGGGTTTTCCTATTTCTATTTAAGTTAACAATTTAACGGTCCCCCCTAGATTACTTGTCATATACATAAAACAAACCATCGGATTATATCGTCGTATAAAATTTAGCATCTAACAACAATTAACCAGATATGTATATTTTAAGGCCTATTATTCATAGTATCATGAAAATTTCCTTTCTTTCCAAAAAATAAATATGTGGTAGTTTTGTTTAATTTAGATTGTAGTGAAACGTAAGCGAACGAATCGAATGTTATATATTAATATATATATTTTTTTGCAAACCAATGTCCTTTAATCATAAGAAAACTTTTTTAGTCTTGGTAGTTTGTACAAACAATTTTGTAAGAAAAAAATTAAACGATAAATAAAAAATGTTTTTTCTCAGATTCATAAAGAAATATTTAATTTTGTGGGTAAAAATATATCGAAAAAATCACCAGACGTAAAGAAATTTTATGTGTAAAAATACCGCGAAATATTCACAAGGCAACCCGTAAGCTATATATATTCACCCCTATTCCGTATGTCGTCGTCGTTGTCGACGACGTTTCTCTTTCGACATCACTTCGCATCGACATCGACATCACTTCGACACTGATTTGGTATTCTGTAACACTCATGCGACGATGTCGACTATTTATCGATAATATCAATAAAAACAAAAATTTTGTTGCATATTTTTGGGCAAAAATGTGTTTGTATCCTTCACCGCACTGTGGCACAGGGCATTATGTCTTGGTAAATGTGTTTGCAACGACCAAAAAGAAACGAGATAGACCCATAGTTACTTTTTAGTATATATATGTACATAGAATTATTTTTCAGTCGATTTATGCATGTCCCTCCATTCATGTATTATTTTAAACAAGTTACATGCCACCATTATGATCCGAACGGGATGAAATTTGGAAAAAATCCATCCAATTGGGATGAAATTTTATTTCCACATAGACGAGTCCTATTGACATTGGTCAAAATCGGTTTAGATTTATATATAGATCCCATATATTTTTCTTTATTTACACTTTATTTTGCATTAAGTATTGAATAGATTCTAGAATAGGGAATACCAATTTGCAAAAGACGACTCTCTTCGACGTCGATTCGTGTCGACGACGACATACAGAATAGGGGTGATTGTTGATCTGAATAAAATTCAACGTCGCTTCAATCATGTTCGTCTATGTGCTTAAATTACAATAGACCTCGAATGTTTAGGACGTAGATTTGAAACTTTCTGCATACGTTGCTACTACTCGTAGGATATTTGGTATTAAATATGAGATATATCGGTCCATGGCTGGGTCAGCAATATAACGGTACCCCCAGATGTTAAGTATCGAACACCAAAACAATAATGACTTCTCCTTAAAGTATGCAACGAAATACGTCAAAATCAGCAGCTGCTGAAAATTTGATTTTTTTGAAAGAATATCTCAACAATTTAAAACATTAAATGTTTTTATGCATTTCTGACCCAATGGAGAGCTCTCCAATCCTACCAAATCTTGAAAGTATTGATCGAAAAATTACCACAGCAATTATGAAAGTGTGTATGTATACGTAAACAAATAACAGCTGACAAATCCACTTCATTTCATATTTATACTTGTCTAAACAGCTAGGATTTCATATCTCAATTTACAAATCGTGTCGATTTTGAAGGCGTAGTCTAATCACGCCTCTATTCTAAAACGAAACATTTTCAAATACAACCATGCGTTTGCACCAAAACAATAATCACTTCACCTAAAAATATGCTTCAAAATACGTATAAAATCAACAGAATTGCTTTAGGAAAAATATGGCAGCTGCTGAAAAATTAAAATAGTTTGTTATATTTTTGATCCTATTATTATTGATTCCTATAAAAACAATGAAAATATTGATTGGAATGGAAGAATCTAGTAAAATACGTATGTTTGCGTAAACAAATAACAGCAGACAAATCATATTATCATTTTAATACGTCGATGTAGTCGTCCAAACACGTGTAATGCCTTAAGTTATGAACTCCCCATTTCCGTATTTCATACAATAAAAAAAAAACAGAGTGGCAACATTATTTGAAAGTATAATTCTAACGCCGTATATATAAATTAAACAACGACTCTGTTCTCAGACACAAGCTTTCCTTAGTCCAAATTTAGATTAGGCGAGTTTACTTGCGCAAGTTTTTTTTGGGAGAGAGGGGCAAGGGGAATAGAAATTGAAAAAAATTGCTCGTACCGACAATTTTCTGGCAATTCGCTTTGTTTATATTTTTTGTATTGTCAGTAATTTGAAATACCAATACAAAACTTTGACAAAGACATAAAAGTATAAAGATAGGACAATTGAATTGCCAAGTTGGCCGTTAGATGGCTTTTGCTCTGTTGTTACGATATCGTAACAACATTTTCTGTTAATTACAAAGAGAACAACATTTTTTACTCTCTGAAATGCAATGGAATAATGACAGAAAAACCCTAGAGAGATTAAAAACAATTTATATGTCTGGCAACATTTGGGAAATATATATGATGTGTTCCACAATGTGCAAGGCGAATTTTTGTCGCTGCTACAGAAATTATGTTATAATTATTATTATTATTTTAGGTTTTTAGTAATTTGAAGACTTTCTCCTACGCCATAGAATCGTTTTAAACGACACCCCCGATGCAATGAAAACACAATGTAAATAGTGAAAGACCGCGAAAAAGCATTTCAATTTGAAAACGTAAGAAGGGAATATATATTCACTACTTATTTCAATAAACTTAATAAAAATTTGGATACTGGAAAATATAGTGCACTATATAATAAGAATATATATGTTGTAATACGGATCTCAAATGGTTCAAATATACGCATATTGCATTATACTATGTTCTGACGTTGTTCCTCTCTAATTATACCCTTCACAACACTGTGGTACAGGGTATTATGACTTTGTGTATATGTTTGTGACAGGCGAAAGGAGACGAAATAGACACATGGCTCCTTTTGACAATATGCAATCACTTTCTGAGTCGATTTATGCATGTCCGTCCGTCTGTAGATGGTAAATTGTGAACAAAGTACAGGTCGCATTTATGATCCGATTTGGATGAAATTTGGCACAGCTCACTTATTTGGCCCAAGGACGAACCCTATTGAAATTGAAGAAAATCGGTTCAGATTTATGGTGTACCAAAGTCCCTATATAACTTTCGATTTGCACGAAATTTTGCACAGCGTACTGTATTGTGTCTAGAATGATGTGTGTCAAGTTTCGAGAAAATCGGTTCAGATTTAGATACAGCTCCTATATATATTTTCTTCAGATTTTATGTAAATGAGGCACCAAAGTCCCTTCATATTTTTCGATTTGCACGAAATTTGGCACAGGGTACTGAATTAGGTCCAGATTGATATGGGCTAAGTTTCGATTCAGATTTAGGTATAGCTCTCATATATAGTTTTGTCAGATTTTATGTAAAAGGTGCACCAAAGTCCCCCATTCTCGGTGTCAACATTTTTTTATTAATTCGAATCTGCTCTTGAAGATATAGCCGATTTATTTTGTCAGCATCAAGTGACGGCAAGAGTGATTCTCAAACTTTTAATTCATTTTTCTCGAAGCTGTGTTTCGCTAATGGCGGGGACGATAACTCATAAACTAATAATCCAATCGGTTTGTTAGTACCCAATTAATAATAATAAAACATTTTTTATACTTTTTTTGTTGTTGTATAATTATTTATTTATTGCCATAAATGAGTTTTTTTAATCACTTAATAATTTTGTGCGATTTTATTTTTTGGAAGATTTTTTTTTTTTGAGGAGGAAATAAAAACTTTCAAGATAGATTAAAAACCAGTGAGCTGAGCAGTATAGTCGGACGGGGCCTACCACATGATATCCTGCACAACTTCTACGAAAATTTGATTTCCTGTAGTTCTATATTCTGAGCTTGAGCCATATGTCGCAATATTTGCACCCTCTTGACCGACTATAGGTCAAGAAATATTACAAATATTCAGTACACCCCTTCGGCTTATAACTGTGCCTATAAATCGACTCGAAAAAAAAAACACAAAAATAAACTTTCGGTCCACTTCAGCCCAAAATTATTATCTGATCATCACCGAAAATTATGGGCATTGTCCTTGACCATAACTGCAACCTCATGGAACATTTCAAAGCGATCACCGCTATATTTCCGCCCTCCAGTGTGGTAATGGTTTACTAAATTATATTTGAATAACCTAAACACCTGTTAATACTTAAGTGTAACTCCAGCAGCCGAGTACATACGACAATATTGGTATCAATTTAAAGGTCAACCACTCTATTCGCTGTAAAACAAAAATTTGTCATTTTTCACACAAAAGTCAGGGTCCATTTGACCCGCTAAATATTGACCGATCTTTATTTAAAACTGGCATGTTTATTCTTTGCCCCGATACCACTCTCCGTGCAAAAATTCGCAATGTTGGGGTCAGAATTGCGGCCTCTGGAGCGACCAGAAAACCGACAAAAATAAAGTATTTGGTCTATTTCATCCCCTTAATATCAACTGATCTTCACCAAAAACCATAGGGGTCTTCATTGGCCAGAAGAACCCATCCTATATGCAAAATTTCGTGAAGATTGGTCCATAACTGTGGCCTGTATCATGTTTACAAATAATAATAGACAGACGAAAGGCCACACATGTCTAGATCGACTCAGCTAGTCGAGATATGACGATCGGTATACTTAACGGTGGGTCTAGGACCAACACGTCGCGGCGTTACAAACTCTTGGGGCTGCTCAAAGCTATAATACCCTGACATACCCTGAAAGCATTGTTGTTTTTGTATTCATGGGTCATTTAAATCAGCATCATAATCTTCAGGCATCCACATCAACAGGAAATAAACATATTGCAAACAAATTAAAAAT